TAGTTGTCGCTCACCGGATTGTATAGTCTAGTAAGGCGTACAGCGCCGCTGTTGGTCTTGTCGCTAATCAAACTATCGGTCACAGTCGTGTGGAGATAATCAGACGCCATTTCGGGGAGTTTGTTGTGTTTGATCGAGAAAATTGTGTTTGAGGAGAATATTCAGTCAAAATTTGTGAAAAAAAAGAGGAAAAATGGCAGATTGGGTACCAGATAGTGACGAGGAAGTGAATTCACCTGATATTTTCGCTGATACAAGTGATGATGAATTGATATCGAGTGTAACAGCACATGTTCACGAGGCATTTTTGCAACAAGAGTAAATGTGAATAATCAAAACTATGAGAAAATTAATTTTAATCAATTGATGTTTTAATTTTTTATGGATTCCCTTTCCATCATTTTCCGTTTTATAAATTTCCAATTTTTTTTTTCCCTTTCAATATTTGGTTTCTGACAGTGGGGGGGGGCTTCGCCCCCCTGGACCCCCCCCTTTTCGGGCCTTCGTGACGAAAAATAGTATGTGTCATTCGGGCGATAGCGTTGGTTTTCGAATCGTGTGAGTTTGCAGCATGAGACGTAGTATAGTCGGAGACGAGGGCCGCCGGAGGCCCAAACTTCAGACTCATCGAAAACCGCCGCTTATCGCCCTAATGACACAATGTACTATTGGATCCATGCCGGGTTAAAATTCTGGGATCCGGTACTGCTCAGAATGATCGGATCCCAGAATTTTAAATTAACATGCCTTCAGAAAGAAAGATGCCTTTTGGGGACACCCGTTGATCTATGTGAGCATCCATCATATAATATGAGATGTCTCAAAGAGGTTTAAATTCATTAATAGCAGCCCAGGAAAAAACGAAACACCGCCCACTACACTCTTTTTGGGATCCAATCTTTTTGAGCAATACCTGATTCGATACGGATCTAGTCGAGATTTAACTGATCAGAATAGGATCACAATTCACTCCGCCACATTAGATCCCGATATTCAATTGAGAATCTCATCAGATCTTGATCCGAAAGTCTAATCAATAAATTCTGACCAGTATTGGACCTAAAACTAATCTACACACAAGCTAACTGAATAAAATTTCCACTCGGGTACTTCTCAAAAAACTCTTGTCTTCCCAGTGTCCCACAATTTCCATTTAATTTGTAGAATCATTTTCACGTGAACAGAAAATCTAGATGGAGCAGCAAATAAAACCAATCATCCAACCATTGAAGACCTCATTATAACACTTCACGTGCGATAAACTTTCATAATATACGGAGCGAAATTTCACGATTTTACTTTAATTTATTGTTGAGAAATTTTGACTCGATGCTTCGAATGTTTCTCAACAATTTCTGCTCGCATGAATGCAACTATTAAGGCATGATGATTCATTCTATGACTCATTTGACTGCATTTTGTCACAGAATTTCTACTATTCCGTAAAGTAGGAAGAAAAAACCACGGAGAATCTAGCGTGGGACGCGAATAGGCTTTTATCGATCCATCGTTTTCCACCGAGCAATAATTCACAGTCCGCACCTTTGGGATCCTTCGCAGCGAGCGATACAATCGCGCTGGAAAAATCTGTCGGCAGCTGGATAGCGTGGAGCGTTAAGCCATCGGGAAAAATTTATTCACGCGATAGGCCTTCCACCATTTACTTATGGCTTCCATAATTTTCCCCGTTAATTGTGACTTTTCAAAGGAAAATATTTTCACTTAAATTAAAATTGAAATTAGATCCTCGTGCGTGCTGTGTTTACACTAAAATTTCCTGATGGTTTATTGTCAGAATGTTTCATTGAGACGAATAAAACTGACGGGGTGCCCAGGCATGCGGGATTGGTTGCTCATGCGTCTGAGTACAGACGGCACGTACGACCGGTTCGCCCTGCATATATTCTGATGGGCGCCTATTGCCGTTGGCCATTTATTTGTGCAATTAATATATAAACCTCGTAAATGGTGCGATGCTCAACGGCACCGACTTGGTTCATTCTGAATTTTTCGAATAATTACATGTCCGGCCTCATCGGCGGCATTAAACATTGCCTCAGCCACCCAGAAATTATGGATTAACCCTTTGGCAATTATTAAAAATGGTTTTAATGAGTTGAAGAAGAATTTGAAAACAAGAGAAAAAAATTGGGTTTAGGGATAGTCTTTGATTCTTCGGGATAATTGCCACTGACTAAAATTATCCGTAACTTTAAGGTAGTACAGTGAGAGAAAAAATTAGGTCTGTCGAAAAACTATATATTCCACGTGAAAATAATTGGTGGAGTGGAACAGATTTACTTGAGGGAAATTAACGAACTTATGCTGAACTGAACGTATGGCGCTCTTCTGGTGCACGAGCAATCTAGTACTGTTGAAATAGTATATTTCGTCACTAGGCCGAAAGAAACTTTTCTGGCGAATATGAGTTTGCAGCCCGAGCCGAAGGCGAGGGCTGCAATCATATGAGCTAGAAAAGTTTTTTTTGGCCGTATGACGAACAGTATTTTTTGTTATGACGGCCGTAGGCAGAGATTCACGGACGCGGAGCGGAGCGTCCGTGAAGCGCTGCCTCACGGCCGGAATGACAAAATAGTATATTTCGTCACTAGGCCGAAAAAAACTTTTCTGGCGAATACGAGTTTGCAGCCCGAGCCTTCGGCTCGGGCTGCAATCATATGAGCTAGAAAAGTTTTTTTTGGCCGTATGACGAACAGTATTTTTTGTTATGACGGCCGTAGGCAGAGATTCACGGACGCGGAGCGGAGCGGAGCGTCCGTGAGGCGCTGCCTCACGGCCGGAATGACAAAAAGATAGTATTGGGGACGCTATAAATCGCTGCGATGTCTGGTGGGTATCGCCTGCACTAAGAAAAATGACCGTCCGATGGTTTATCGTTGGTACTTCAATCAATTACTTCACAAATCCTCAAGTTTTTCATATGACAACATCGGTACTTCGAGTACAACAATAAAAAACAATACAGAAATGAATGAGTCGAAGAGGAATACTACTGTCAGCTACAATGTGAGGGTTTGAATAAGTTTGAACGGGTAAACCATCGGTCATCCATGTTATGAGGGCGATCACCACGCCACCATCGGTAAATAGCGGTCCCAATACTTCTGGACAAGGACCATGCACTAAGAGAAAAATCGACATAATATCACAAAAATCATTTCTTGAGCGAAAAACGTCGCATACATATTTGATCAATTTATGGTAGATTTCAAATAAGAAATCGGTGCTCTTCCGGCTAAGAAGTTACTAAATGGAAAGGTGATGTCTTTTTTCGAAATGAGATAATATTCCTCAAAAGACAAGAATAGTTTGACAGAAGGAAAAGAAGATATTGCTTCCCTTCGAACTCAAAGCGATTGAGCGTAAGCGACGGTTATATTTTTTTAATATCTGGAAGTTTCCCTCTGCATAAACTCTCTATTCATTCAATATGAAAGTCTCTGATTGATGATTCACTGAATCGAGGCTTTTAATATTTTTAGTCATTTTCTCATCTTCTGACACGAAACAACCAATTTCTTGTGGCAAGAAATTCTCACTTTATCATGAAATGTTCATGTTCAAGTCATGAACACTTCATCGAAAGCTGACATTGTCTGACATATTATCCGGAATTCTTATCCCAAGAAATTTATCCTCAAGAATGAGATATTTGGCGCAAGAAATTAGTTTTGTGATATTATGACGATATTTCTCTCAGGATGGGGCTTTCTACTCGTGTGGAGTTGGCGTCCAAGCCGAAGGCGAGTTAGAAGAGAGTATTTAAGGAGTTAAGGAGAGACTATTGTTTAAGGAAATGATTGAAGAAAGAATTTGACGGACTAATTTCTTACACTCATTGAAGTTAGAATTCGTATAAAAAAGTATCAATGATGAATCATTATTTTTTCGGGCATTTTAAACTTATTTTTGTCACTGCTGCTATATGTACCTCGTATCGAAATATGCCTTTTTGTTAACTTGTAAACGAAAAACGGTACAGGTCGGCATTCATTGAAGGTAACATCACTGACAAAAAATATAGTTCAGATACATGTGCGACGGGTTTTTCCAGCTCGTGTGATTGGCAGCCCGAGGCTTCGCCTCGGGCTGCCAACTTCATACTCATGAAAAACCCGTCGCACTTGCATCGAAATATACTTTTTCCCTGTTACAATCAACGACTCAACTGGAGTCTATTCGAACTACTTTAGCTTGTATTATAGTTGTCCATTTTTCTTAATTGAGACAAAATCCAATTGATCATTTATCACTAAGAATGTCTATTTTAAAGTGAATTCAGGTATTCACTTCCGATAAAGAAATAGATATGAAAGAATAAAAAAATGATTTTCTGTTGGATATGGTGGAAATCATTAACACAGAGACAAAAAGTAAATCAGTAACGATTTTTTTTCATTCTAAAAATATTTCATTTGTTTATTTTTAGCTCCAAAATTACTCTAAGAATGTTGGGAAATTAAATAAAAAAAAAAACGATTCGTTCTGCAATATCACCCATACAATTCGACGAATTATTTTGCTGGCCGCAAAACGAAATTCTCAAAATACTTGTTTATCTTAAGAAGGAAAAAAATAATAAAAAATATGGGATATTAAACCGAAGAAACAAAGAGCATCTTTTTACCCTGGGGACACAGTAGCTTTCTCCCTGGAGCCAGCGGATTACCAGAGACATGTCGGTGAGAGGGGCGGGGGGTAGGATGAGGTACAGGGATTACTCGGAGCTGGGGTGGCCCAGAACCGAACACACAGGGCTGATTGAGAACATCCCTAATGCGTCACGACAGACTCCATCCGCCCGTGTGCAGCCATAAAAAGCCGCGGTACTGTAACGTCTCTCTCTCCGTATATACCCCGAAGATTCGGCAACATTTCCTCTTTTTTTTTTATTTCAACGTATAGGAGGATTGGTGAAACCCCATTACGGGGCTTCGTGATGTGCAGATGGTTAAAGAATGGATTATTATCAGACTCACCAGCGATTGTGTTGAGGAACATGAGGTATTCGAAGTTTGATATCTCTCTTCTTTGCCACTTTTGAGTCATGTTGGAGCTTCTCATTAGTTGTCTCGGTGACATCATCGATGCTCTTCTGCAAGTTGAAAAATTGTTGATCAATGCCAATTTTGCATGATTTGCGTTATTGTCTTTTGCTTCGTGATGGAAGCTTTGTAATCGGTTAAATGTAAGGTTTCATTCATCTTTTGGGCGAGGGGCTACTCATTCCATGATTGAGTGAACTATGATTTCGAAAAGAAGTCGATTTCGGGTGATTTCAGCGGCGATTTCAGCGCGGAGAAAATTATTTGGTGAATTTCACCAACGAGTTTTTGAAAAAAATTAATTACCAATCAGTTGGTGAATTTCAATAACTAGTTGATGAACTTCAACAACTAGTTGTTGAAATTCACCAAATAATTTTTTCCATGAGCGATTTCGGTGATTTCGAGAGTCATGGGAGGTAATCTAATGATTTCATTGATTAATTAAATGATTCGAAACCAATTAATTAATTGAAATCTTTCGAAATCATTAATGATTTCAGAAAAAAAAGAAGTCATTGGAATCATGGTGAATAAAGTTAATACATAATAGATGGAGGTACGGCAAAACGTGTCGTGTCAAATTATGAAAATCAAAACTGGCAAATAATAACGAATTCGTTTGATTCCACTCCGTCAATCTTGAGCTAATGACGATGAAAGGCGGGCCATTTTACCTCAGTCTCCACTAATAATTCACAAATAACAATCGATTTCGAAACTTTATATTAAAAAACAAAAGTTATATAAATGAATTCACACACAGATTGTTATAACATTAACTCATTTATTTAGAAATATTATTGAACTTCATAAAAAATTCTCTCAGGGAGCCTCAAATTTCCACTCTCAGTGATCAGAGGAGAAATTGTTCTTCGATACTGGCTTATATTAATGTAACCGTGAGACCTCATTGGCTCCGACTTTAAACGATTCAGTCTTTTATCCAAAATATATCAATGGCAAAGAACACCTATATTTTTGCTATTACCACTGACACGAGCATATTCGCTCGAAAACTCCCTGCTTCGCAGAGTTTTCCCCTCTGAATAAGCGAAATTCAGCACATACACTAATAAGCAAGTAGGATTTTTTTTCTCCTGAAATGAACACCAACCACCGATATCGATTACCTTTAACCCTCGATCGGTCGCGTCATGGCACGAGCGCCGTTCTGTCTCGATTTTTATTTTTTACGCTGAAACTTTGTTGAGAAAAAATCTGAAAAAATTGGAATTTCTACTTTCCACCATGTCAAACATTTAAACAATTTTTGTTCTGTGTATTTTTACACCGATCAAAAATTAAAATTCCTTAAAAATTCGAATCGGTTAAAATCTCTGTGTTTAACCTCTAAATGTCAAATTTTCGCACCGAATGGAAATCAATTTTTGAATAATGTTTTCACTTTTTTCATTTTATACTGATATCAGTTGTTAGTTGGAAGTTCAAAGTTACTCGTTTAACCATAAATAAATCATTTTTTTGAACTTTTTTTTTTCTCAAAATGGTAAAATACCCGCAACGGCGCAGCGCTCATCACGCGACCAGATACGGTTAGTGGAGAAGTGCGACCACTCGAGGGTTAATTCTTTCACAAAATAATTTTTCTCGCGTTGCAAAGGGTTCTTACGTCGATGACTAGTACTTCTCGTTTCTAACTCGCTGGAGTCTATCACTATTGAGTGTTAAATTATCTTTATTAGACAACCAATATATTAAAGATTTGCGAACTATTGATTCTTGGTCTGAAGCATCTGAAACTATAACGAATGGACTTTCTGGATTCATACGATTATAAGCACATACGACATTTGTCTAGGAAAAATTTCGAGTTTTAACAGGGTCTTAATGTAGAATTATTCGACAAAACTAAATAATCCACAAAATTTCGATGACATTTCAACTGATGATAGTATATGATATGACAAAACAGAAGAAGAGAATAGTAAAATAAGAATAAAAAAAGAGAGAACCCATTCGGAAGGGAATTGTTAATTTATTAGTCCACAATAACTACACTCATTTATTTAAAAAAAATGCAATTGTCTACTTATTTGCGTCCACGAAGCGCCGTCTTCCGGCCGGAATGACAAAAAGTAATTAATTGCAATTATGATAAAATTTTCTGTATGAGTTGAAACTGTGATGAGTAGTCGATTAGTTGACTGGAATGATCGAGTGTACCGTAATAAGTAGAAGTGGAATCAATTGATTTCCATTTATTGACTAATGAAGTTCGTTGATTGAGTAAAACTATTAATTAAATCGATACTAAATATACCTCATCAATATTTACGTGAGAATGTTACACTGAAGAATTATCAACAAGTTATACCGGGGTGAATGGATAATTCCACAAATAAAAATACTGGGAGAGCAATTTATTACTCCAGTTAAAATACCATTTCGGTACTGATCAAAGTGCGATCAACGGAGCCAGTCGAGCCGAGTTTTTCGCACGAGTGCAAATGCATCATAAAAGCACTTCCACCGCCTCCGGAGTAATAAATTCATTTGGTCTTTTATATCACCGCGATATCCTCACAAGTGAGAATATTCAGATTTGAGAATTTACACATCGGGGCGGGGGTTTAATGACTGCCGTGCCTTTGGAATAAAAACGTCAACGACAACGAGAACACCGGATGTGTTTATAAATATGACAGGGAGAGGGTGGTGGGGAGTTTGAGGAAGGTCAACAATTTTTTGCATACTTCCTCGCGAACGAGTTGAAAGGAAATCAATTTGCTGGAGGGAAAGGGTGGGGGAGCGAGAATAAGTTCAAATTTAATGTTTGGATTGATATTTTAACGAAATAAAAACAAGTGGGAAATTTCGTGACAACATAGTCAATATATTTTGGATAGTATACGAATAAGTACTTGAACGAAGTAATACTTCGTTCTAGTACTTATCTTCATTGAAATTTGAAAAATAATCAAATAATTGATAGGCTAAATTTTCAGCCAACTATTGAGTAAATAATTCTAAATTTTGTAAAGGGATTCTTCGATTTGCCAAATACTCGTCAATCTTTCGAAATTAATTATTGATTGATAAAATAATTCGGCATTCAAGTATTTAATCGAGGACTAATTTAATAATTTAAAAATTGTTGGGTAAATTAACCATTCAACTAATGCAAAATTCAACTTAATTTAAAATTTATGGTTGTACTGATATCTGATGGAATTTACAGTTCTTCGGAAAATTCGAATAAAGTCTCATTTTCTAGCGGCAGGAAGACGGAATGAAAATACGGAATGATGATGATAGACGGAATAAGTCCACACTTTACATGAATTTTCAAGTGAAAATGAGTATTTTCAATGTACTCCTTCGAAATTCCTAAAATTCCACGAATTTTTTAAGGCATTCCTTGAAAATTCAGAAGAATCTGGAATTCAAGGCGAGATTTCTCTCAATTATTGTTGATTTTTTACCAATTTCCCCGGAAGAATTGAACTAAAATTTACAGTTTTCACGGATTTTTTCATAAAATTATGAATTTTTAATTAAAAAATTCGTTGAAATTTCAGTGGAAGTGTTACTTGTTAGAAATTTCCGTCCAAAAATTTTCAAACCTAATATAGATGTGTTTTTTTACGCAATAATTCGTAAAACGTCTGCCACAAAAAGTATTGTTCATTCAATTACAATATGTCGCTCAACGATTACCATTCGCACACTAACAGAAAAAATGAATTTTATCAAGAGAATTTCATTTGAACCAACTATCATTTGGGTGTTAATTTTCAAATGAACATGATTTCATAGTGAATACCATTTACCCCTTCTCTAGAATTGAAGTCCCTTTTATTTGTCGCAATAATGAGAGTATTTCAACTCTTTCTAGGCAAAAGTTTGCTAACTCCAGAAATTCGTTGGTTTAGTCAAAAATCAAAATTATTCTCATGACCAAATACGATGTTATCTCAATCAACACAATAATATGTTGTTCCAAGTAAATTATAATTGAAGTGAGCATTCCGTATGTCGAATCAGGATGAATATTGTTACGCGGAAAAAGCTTTGAGATTGTAGTAAAATGTCGTTGAGTTGAAAGCAGTTTATATTTCTTGACTAAAAAAATCGGATTAGTTTACAATAACAGAATCACATATTACGGCAATTCAACACAAACTTGGATGTCACAAATTTCGTTCAATGTGATGTACGGAACGCTCAAGTTAATAATCGGCTTCATTCGAGAAAACAACATTCAATTCATTCCTCAATGTGATCATCTCCTAGGTCCGAATTTTTTATCAATTCATGAAAGTAGAAAATTTCTCGACTGGAGATTATATTAGGTTAATAGAAAATAGAACTTTTCCATTTTTGTGGTGAATGTGGCTTGACGCCAAGGGCTGTTTTATTTAATTCAAGTAAATGTATCTCAAGAAGAAATAATTGATATTCACCGTAAGATCTTATTTATTTGGAATTGGTGCAAGTATATAATACTTATTCCAAGAAAGAAACATCTCAATAAAAATAATTTTTTCCATCAGTCTATAGTAAAATTTGCCGCGATTTTCTAGATAATTTTGATCCAACTTTTCAATCCGCGCGGAAACTCCTAAAACTCACCGATTTCCATCAATTTAAAACCCGAAAATCGTGATATGCGAATTCACGCTGTGAGTTAGCAAACTTATAAAAGTTTTCGTCCCCCTAAATGTCTTGCATTTTTATTTAACCCACCGAGGAATCTACCTCGGATCAGACGTCGAGAGGTCTCGAACCGGCGTATATTTATGACCATCGTATCTCTCGCCAGTTTATATACGTTAGAGGGATAGTTTAATGGATGGTCCAGTGCCGCAAACCTGTGTTCTTCGCCGCACAGGAGAAGTTAGTCCTCTTTTACCTCATGATCCAACCAACTAACTCAAGCATAGGAGGACCTCTCTTTACGAATGAGACAAAGAAACTCGCGGTATGCGACGAGCGTGTCCGCATGTGTTTCAAGTGGAATTGGTTTTAAGTGAATCGCCGAGGGACAAAAACACTTTTGAATTTTTTCGAGTTTGAAATTTTGCTCCCTCTTACCTAGTCTGTGGAATTCCGTATTTGATGCCTACGCCGACCCTCGGCAGTGCCTTGATCACCTTCTTGACTGTCGTCTGGTCCGGGAAGGCGAAGAGGATCGAGGCTGTTGATAAAAAAGTGTCAACATTTTTTTATTCGATTCAAATTTCGAGGGGTAAACTTGCCCACGCTCGACCCTGCCCAGTAAATTAATTATTCATGTCTGAAACTTTCAAACTCGGACCAAATAATTATTTTTTTTGTAATTTTCAACTAACGATTTTGTTGGCACAAACAAGACTTGTCTGAGAACTTGTTCGTTTCTTTCTCAGTTAAATTTGTTTTGTGTTGAATTTGTTTTGCGTTGAATAGTCATAGAACCTTTAGAAGGCTAAAATGGCGATTTTCAAGTCTCAAATTGAAACTTGAAATTCTCCACTTGATCCTTTCAATTTAACATCTTTGAAATCTCAAAAGAAGGATTTTTTTCCGGGATATGACTCGTGATATGTTTCAATGTTTTTGTTACAATATAGGATATTCAACATATAAGGGATTGACATACAACCTTACCATATCACTCAAATCATGAGACGATGACAGGGACAAGCGTCAAACGCGCATACACTTGTAAAAAAATTCAGTTGAATTTTCAGGAAAAAGACTGGGAATTCGATTTGAGGGGAAAACGTCAATGGAATTTCAAGTTTCTCTGAAAATTCAAGTAAAGTCCCATTTTATTGCAGCAGGAAAATGGTAATTCGACAATTTACATGAATTTCCAAGTGAGAATGAAAATTCCATGCCAAATTCCCTTGAATTTTCATGGAATTCTCTGAAAATGCAGAGGAATCTGGAATTTATGAACAGATTTCCTCGAATTTTCCTGACTTTTAACCAATTTCCCCGGATTAATTAAGTGAAAATTTATAGTTCCCATGCGTTTTTCCTTGAATTTATGAATTTTTGATGCCAAAATTCCTTGAAATTTCAGTGGAAAATTTTTAACAGTGTAGGAACATAGGACTTTCCACGTTTACCGATAATTATTTATTTAAAAAAAGCAATTTTAGGGTCAATTCCATTGAATTTTAATTATGAAAGACGCACTAGGACGGAATGGACACTTTCCACTTCTTGCTCAATGTTTATAATTCAGAAATAAATTGATATACTTTCCAATATAAAATAAATAAATTGATATACTTCCAAAAAAAAAAATTATCCTATTTAATCAGACATTCAGTGACCCACTGAGATTCTAAAAAAACTATCAAGTGTCCATTTTACCCCACTCGTCCCTATTGATATGTTCACCATAACTAGCCGAGTACAGGGCCATTAACCCAAGTACTTAACCGAGATGATTTATTGTTCACCAACAAATTTTCTTTGTTTTTGTTCCCCAAAAAAATTATTTCTTGCTGGACAAACGACATTGTGCCCAAAGGGTGACATTCCAGAGGTTCATGAAGACGCGTAGGGGAGAGTAGAGCCAAGGATATTGAGATTAGAATCTACGTGGACGTTGGGAATTTATCGTTGGACGGTGAAATAATCAGTAGGACGACGCGGAGACCCCGACTCGCCAGGTATACGCAACTGTCTCATATTTATTATTTCAGAGGCTGCAGATGTGTATTTTTTGAGAGAAAAAAAAAAAGTATAAAAATAATTATTAAACAAGAATGGAGACAAAAAGGACGAAATTGTGCAACACTCGGGGAAATGAATAAAGAAAAAGCCCCGAGGGCGATTGGAATAATGAATCGTCCCCACAAAAAGAACATACCGTAATGCGTGACTGATATTTATGTTCACAATGGTAAAAATAAAAACTCTCGAGCCCCATCAAAACTCGCTGGCACACCTCGAAGATACGCGCGGAATTTGCACCAGTGCGCTCTATTTCTCTCTTTCATTTCAGCACAAGAGATTAGACCTTGTCTCGTGTGGCGTGTGAAATGCATTTCGAGCAAGAAAATTGGAATGTCACCCGGCAGCACCATTGCTAAACTCGTTTTATTTTTTTTAAAAGCTGAATATTTTTTCAGGAGACAGTCCGTTTATACTCACTTCTGCTGGCGAGGAAAATCTCAATGGCGAGATTTTGGAGTAAATAGCGCCGTGAGAATATCGCACGGACTTCGGAGAAGTACCACTTCCCGTGAAGATGATCGCAGAATTTCAAAACCTGAAACAGAAATGGAGGTAATCATGAGAAGGGACCAAATTGCATTTTTAATTGAGAGTGAACCCCTGCCCGGGTAGAAATCACGCCGCTCGAGCTCGGCTCGGAAGCCGTATCCCAGCTAGAAATACGCCACTCCGCCCCAGCTTGGGATAAACTCCACGCGCGTCACATGTACCCGAGGTTGAGCCGCGTCACGCGCTCACAGCCTAGCGNTGAGAGTGAACCCCTGGTTGGAACTGTCAGATGGATTTTGTCTCATAGTGCAATTCTTTTGGCCGAAATTTGGATGGGCAAATTCCCTCCCGAATACTACTCGAGCTTCAAAATTAATCGAGTAATTCCCTCAAGGTTCCCTGCGCACAAACGAAGTCGTCAAGTTTTTCAGGAAAAATCACTCGTGCTTCGTACTCATAATTTTTTAACCTGAAAAACTTGACTCCTTAGTTTGTTTGCAACGAACCTATCGGGAATTGCTTGATAATTTTGAAGCTCTNAATTTGGATGGGCAAATTCCCTCCCGAATACTACTCGAGCTTCAAAATTAATCGAGTAATTCCCTCAAGGTTCCCTGCGCACAAACGAAGTCGTCAAGTTTTTCAGGAAAAATCACTCGTGCTTCGTACTCATAATTTTTTAACCTGAAAAACTTGACTCCTTAGTTTGTTTGCAACGAACCTATCGGGAATTGCTTGATAATTTTGAAGCTCTCGTGGTACTAGGGGAGACGGTGCCAGTACCGCGCGGCGGGTAATACCGCGTATATCGATTTTTCCACTCCTATCCTTCAAATTAATTTTCTGTCAATTAAATATTAAATGATTATCTATTACGAGCTTAATTTAGTGAAAATTTGGCTTTTTAATTGCAGTAAGTTCCAAAAAAGTAAGTGAAAATGTTTTAGATCAAAACGATGTAAAATTTGGCCTTTATAATTTAAACTTTCTTGTTTTGTGGAATGGAGCAAATCATATGAAATTACTAGAGACACTTTCAGTGTAGTCTGACAACAATGCAAATAATTTTTATCGATTATTTATTACAGCGTTTCGTTTGCGGGTAATATCACGCGCCGAGCGAGGGCAATACCGCGCAGTGAGTTACAAGGCTGGACTGCCGGCTGGCAAAGGTGCTGAACGTCCAAGTCGGTTTACCTCATTTGTAATCGGCATAATAAATTGACAAGGCAAAAATGAGACATCCTTTGAAGTGAAATTAAAGTTTAATTCATTCATTGAAGCTGCTCAGCTCTCATTAACGAGGAGACCGACAGATAGGTTATGGTCATCTGTTGATCCCTCGGTTATTTCATGAATCGATGGTGAGTTTTTTCGTCTTTGTAATGGAAATGCCACGGAAGGAGAACCCTGAAGAGTTAAGGATGTATTGCTGTCTCCCTACCATTTTTCATGTTTTTTGCAGATTTCTGGCAAACTATTGATCAGATTGACGCGAAAAAATATACCATTTTTGAAATTTATTATTATTCCATGATTCAAGAAGTCATCGCCGTGCAACAATTTTTCTACGTTTTTTCTAAACTTTTTTGGAACTTCACAAAACGTTAGGAAAAATGTAGAGAAATAGTCGCATGAATATGAAATTTGGTGAGTCATTTAATGAGGATAAAACTCAAAAACGGTATTTTTTGCGTCAATCTGATCAACACTGTGGCAGAAATTTGCAAAAAACATGAAAGGTGCCCGAAAGACAGCAATACATCCTTAAAGAAAAGAGGAAAGTGGAAAGATAATGCCTTGGACTTAGCCCTAGAGGCCGTTACCAATGGTACAGCACCCTACGCGGTATTGAAAACTCGGCGAGCGGTAATACCCGCAGCGGTGGGTAATACCGCTTACAGACCGTCGAAACAATAATTAATGATTTTCGTACTTTTTTCTGTATTAACAGCTCTAAAATGTGCATAATCTTGAAGCTGAATCACCACAAAATACTTTTCATGCGTTTCTTCGTCTACAATCTGATCATAATTTTCAAAATATGTGTTATTTGGTTAGGTGCGCGGTAATACCACCAGCTCCCCTACTTGCGGTAATTGTTCCACTGGAAAAACAAAAGATTTCCAACCCAAGATGGTTGAAAGAGACCCTCGTTGAATTTGACAGATGAAATTTGTCTCATGTTAGTGCGATTCTCTTGGCCAAAATTTGGATGGAAAAATTTTCCTCCGAATACCACTCGAGTTTCAACATTAATCAGGTATTTCCCTCAAGGTTCCCTGCATGCACACGAACCTATAGTCTGACCAAAATTACTTTTCCCTTCGGAAGAAATAGTTTTCTTTTGTTTTCATTGCAAAATCAATAATTTGACAATAGAAACCATAGAAAATCGTTGCCTGAAACTAAGTTTATGCCAGAAAAGAAGTTTTGGTTGGAGTATATCAAGGAATGCCTGATAATTTTCCAGCTCTTGTGATATTACGTACAAAAATTTACCCGCAATGTCTGGAAACAAAATAGGAATCAATCTGTCTCAATATTCCTGAAATTATCGATCAAGCGATGGCTCACGGCAAAATGAATTGATAAATCAAATCCAACCAAATTTCCCCTCTTCCGACTACAATCGCCAGTAGGATCCGGTCTAGACGCATCGCAACCTCTTCGTCTGAAAACGGCGCGTCGTCCCACGGATCAGGCCGCGGATCGGAAAATAAAAGGAGGTGCGGGGAAGAAAGCGAAAAAAAAGAGAGACTGCAAGAAGGCTAAAAAAAATAAATGGACATAAGAAGGGTAAGATATATATGTGTTATGCCGGCATCGTTTGTTGGGGGACCGCATGCTCGCAAACGTAAGTATGTAACCTGGATGCGGTGAAGTGTGATACGATATAGTGAACACGGTTTTGCCGGCTTTGCAAAGATGGCCGTCACATTGGTGGGAGGAGCCTTCCCTGCACGGTTTGCAGGAATCGATCCCCAGGAAGGTACGAGAGGACTTGCGCTCTTCGGATGTTGTATAATGTCCTCATACTGTGGATGAAGAGGTGAAGTGGGGTTGTTGAGAAAGAGTCTTTATTTACCGCCCAGTGACTTAACAAGGCTCTCAATTCTATCGCCGTTTTTAATGAGAATATATTAAGCGGCTGTAATGCCATTAATGGCGACGAATTAAATTATACTCGATATAATTATTTGTTGACTTATTGACTGGAATAATGTAAATGTAAAATTGGAACAACAGAACAGAACGCAAAAAAATAACCGGAATTACAATGATCAATTTGGAAATTTGAGTTGATGAAAAGACTCGTGATGAGCCCGAAAGAAAAGTAATGATTCAAGTAGCTCCAGGCTTGATTTTAGTATATTCGACTTGTTTAAAGCATGAGTAGGAAATTGGATTATTTGAAGAAGAAAGGTCTCAAGTTGTCATCGACTTGATTTAAGTGGAAACCAATGGATTGATTCCCCGTAAAAATCTACCTATTTCAGTATGTTACAACTTGATTTAAGTAGAAGTAATAGCTGATCCAAGTCAAATTGATACTTGATTCGAAAAATCGGAGTTCGAGGAATACAAGTACACTAAAGAAAACTATTACTTCATAAAGATCGAGATTCCATTTCATTTGACTCAAGTCGCCGAGTCTATTTGAATCAAGTACACGCATGGAAAAAAGTAATAATTTAGATGGCCTCCGGTTTGATACTAGTACATGATTTACTTCGTTGAAAACAGGGTGAATCATTCCGGAGTTTGGACTTGCTGTGAGTAAATTGCATTATTTGAAGAAGAAAAGTCTCAAGTCGTCACTAACCTGATTCAAGTCGGCACCAACTTGAATCAAGGCGACAAATACTTCAGTCAAGTCGAATTGATACTCGATTCAAGTCGGGGAAATACTTAATTCGAAAAATCCAAGTTCTAGTGATACAAGTGCACTAAAAAAACTACTCTTTCATGAAAGTCGAGTATCTATTTGACTTGACTCAAGTGGCAAAGTCTATTTGAATCAAGTACACTCGTGGGAAAAAGGACTAATTTCTATAGTTTCCAGCTTGATACTAATAAATATATTGCTTGTCTCGAAGCAGGATGAATCATTCCAGATTTCGAACTTGCTATGAGTAAATTGGATTATTTGAAGAAGAAAGGTCACAAGTCATCACTTACTTGATTCAAGTAGAAATTAGGGGATTGATTCATCTCCAAAATTCTACCTATTGCAGGTATTATATAACGACTCAATTCAAGTCAGCACCTACTTGATTCAAGGCGACGAATACTTTATTCAAGTCGAATTGATACTTGATTCAAGTCAGGGAAATACTTGATTTTTAAAATAGATATTCTAGTCATCCAAGTACACTAAAAAACCTGCACTCTCATAAAGGTCAAGTATCCCCTCAACTTGAATCAAGTATCAATTTGACTCGAATGGATCGTAGAATTTGCTTGACTCAAGTACAATGCGACTTGAATCAAATGGTATTGTCGACATGATTCTGTCCCTCTCATATCCAATTGTATTCGTGCACTCAATTCATGCACTTTTTTGTGAAAGTCATACAAAACTGATAAATAACGAACGACAACAGCTCCTAAGGGTATGATGTTGAATTTCTGTAAATGGAGAGGCTAAACAGGAGCCGACGATGTTTCCTAGGGTGGCGTGTGTGCATCCGCGTGCAGACACCCGTCAAAACCTAATTATCCGGCGGAAGGTCCTCAACTCCCTCGAGAGGCCACTATTCTCCAACAACTCGGGATGACAGTAAATAATATGAACGAAAATAGTTGAATGCAATTGGGAAATCGGAGAGTCCATTTCTCATCGAATGTAAACACATTAATTCGGGAGAATAAACGACAAACGTGGGCTTGACAATTTTCAAAGACATTGGGACAATTTGTCGACTGGAAGTATGTGATTATTTAAGGTTTGATGGACAAATGTGTGGGATGATGAGATAGAGATTGTGGGATTGATAGGGGGTCGGGGTCACCCTTTGGGGCGTGCGCATGCTCGGGGTAGCC